GAACTTTTTTTTCAGTTTGCTCGTCGAATGCATTTATGAAGACAACAAATAAGTCACAGTTCACCACACAAAATCATTCGTTTTGTACTAACACAATGTTACTACACGAGTTCCTCGATGGTAATAAACTCTCGCTCATTTCGCCGGCTGATCTACTGTGCATCCAACATTCAGAAATACATCTAGATTTGCCAATACATATACATATACGATTCATCATAACACTTAAATAAATGTATCAAATTTATCTACAATGCACCCTCAGCTTCCAATTCAATTCAACGTTTTGTTTCCGTTTATTATTGAAAATGTGTCACGACTGAAAAACGACCATTCGGGCTAATAAAAAGTTTGGATTCTAAAACACGTATTTCGAAATATAGGAGGCTACTATTCTATCAGTAGAGAGATAAAACACTTATTTATTACGTGACGACTATTTCACAATGTTCAGCTGGCGGGTGACCCGGAAAAGGCGGAAAATCTTTTGAATTTTTTAAGCATAGCTTATATAATGACAGAAGGGGAGAGCCATTGAAATACCCATTCGCTCTTTTCAATGATCGGGCTCATGTTCAGAATACATTTTGATGTTTTGCCCATGACCTATCCTCAATAATAATTTGATTTCAGCTTCAAACTACAAGAAATATTCACAAATTAAGAAGGATCATTGTTGTGTGAATTTCAAGCTTGAATATATTTTGTTTTCTCCTAGGTTTACTATTTGTCAAAAATGTCCAAAGAAGAAGTTTGGGGCCCAGTTGCATATACAGTGCATTTCTTTAATGTCCACCCCCCCCCTGTTATTTTTTGAACAGATCAACTCAAAAAATTGAAATTTGGGATTATGAAATTAATGTATGAATACTTTATTTCGAAGTGACATTGACAGATGAAAATTTCGCGACTGGGTGCCATCTGGGAAAAAAAATCAAATGTCTTGTGACACATCTTTTTGAAGCCCCTGACGAATAATAATAATAATAATAATGAAGCAGGGATGGCCACTAACACCCTTGGCTTTTGGTGAGTTGCGACACCACTTACCCGAGCAACTGGTGCAAAACCGGACCGGCAGCCCAGGCGCACTCGGGAAGGAGAACTCTATTCTCCCTACGGTGCCGGCCGTGGGTCCACAGGGCTAACCACCCGGCGGACTCAACACTTGGTTCCCAATAATCAAGGAAGAGGCCCCCACAATCGACCCGCTCGGAGGGGTCAGAGGCAAGGTGGTGGGGCCCATAACGATGATTTGCCTACCGACGACAACAGAACTACTAGATGAAAATGAGCTACTGCAATTTGATCCTATTGTCTGCTCTAAAATCGTGTCTGCGTTAATTTCAATTTCATTTGGACCACGGCTCCCCTCTTTTGCAACGACGAATCCATTCTTTTTGCAAAGTTGTGGAAACCATATCCTTAGCAATAGGAAAAGAGTGAAATATTACATCAGCAACACCACTTTTCTGATTGCTTTTGGTGATTGCTTTTGCAAGTTGACACTGCACAAATACGACCAGGCATTTTAGCTAAAAATTACAAGGTTATTTAATGGTTAGACAATTATTGCTTTTATTTACAAAAATGTGAACATTTTCAATTTTTACCTTAATTTAATTTAAAAATGTTCAATAAATCAAAAAAGTTCCACAATGGCAAAAAATAAACCTCAAAACAGAAGAAAATAACAGAGTCTTATATGGCGTCTACTCGTTACACCAGTTTAAAAAATATCCAAAAGCACAAAAAAAAGACGACTTTCATGATGACAAACTCAATGTTTCGGAAAACTAATTGGTATAGTTAAATAAAAATTTAATCAAAATAAACAAAAACAATGTAATACTGTCCGAAAGTAATCCTCAAAAAATGTTAATATAACACACAGTCTTATGGCAGCTACTAAAAGAGTCACCAGTGTTACGTTACATTTGTTCGGCGCTTGTTTAACGTGGCGATATATGTAAGTTAGCAATCCTGTATGTCCATAATCGTTGTCAAAGTTCCGCACCTCGTCTCTTCCAGACGTCCATCCTGTGTGAATTGGGCCTTAGAATTTCAGAGCCAACTCCTCCATTTTTGCCGTCATTCAGTCAACCAATCAGAAGCTACCGCGCGAATAGAGGGAAATTCAAATCAGTAGATGAACAAGACCGATACGAGCGCAAAATACCATGTATTTGCTTTGGCGCTAATTTTTTTTGCAATTTTCACTGGAAGTCACAGCATTCTGGAAATGACCTCGAGGTCTTGGTTTCCGTCTGAGGTGTTTTCATGAGTGAATTTTTTGGGTTTTGAGAAATAAAAAAGATTACTTGAAGAAAAAAAGTTTTGTATGTTAATTTAACTTTTTCCATAGGTCGGTTATTCATTTTGTATCAAACATTCGTGGAAATATATTTTTTGATTGAATGGACTGTTCAATGGTTTATATTGAGCAGAAAACTTTTCACTTTGCTTATATTATACTCAAAAAAATCTCTGTCGATATAGTTTTTTTATTTTTCAGATTGTGGATGGTTATATACCTAGAAAACAGCAAACAAGATTGATTCTTCTACAGAAGAAGTCTTTCAAATAATAAATAATATTTCCTCTTCATTCGCTTTCCTCGTGTCTTTTCAATAAATAATTGGCACACTTCCTTCAGGAGTTTTAATAAAGAAAGTAAGAAAAAACATCAAAATCAACTTAGTCCGTCTCCAGACAATGATTACCGTTTCTCTACGTGTTTGCAGAAAACACCAGAAGTGAAATTAGGGAATTTTTCCAAGAAGTTCGCGCACGACTCTCGTTATTTTTCAACGATAGTGAAGTTTGACCGGATGTAACATTTATTGATTCATTATTGTTACGAAGTGTCCTCAATAATTGATTTCGACACAATATTCACTGATATTTGCTGTTTTTTCCCACTTTTCTGATTTTGTTACACTGGAGAAGTATACAGTTGGAAGTTATTCCCAACCAAATACCTTATCATCAATTTACAATTTTTATAGATCAATCTGTGAATAATATATTTCCATGATATTTTCAATATTGTTTCATTAATTTTCCGAAAATTACCTTTGTTTCATAATATCATGGGGAAACGAAACATCGCAACATATTTTTCCTTTAAAGGTTTCGGATTCAGTGCTGAAGGTGAACGTCAAAGTTTGGAATGCATGGAGAAATTCAAGTCGATTTTAGGTCTCTGAAAATTTGAAAACTGGTTTTCTTCACTCGAAATTTCAGACCAGTTTTTTAGAGATAAAACACAAGCACTACAGGACAATCCTCAAGATGCTCTAATAGGGGTGCCTGTGCGAAAGAAGCGATTCACATTGGATTTGAATCGCTGGAGATTAAATTCATTTGGAAAAACGTTCTCAGGAGGTTCATTTCACATAAACGCAGTTCTCCAAATGAAATAGTTCTTAAACAGTGGAGTTCGAGGTGTACAGAGTTGTACCTCGAAAACGATGAGCAGCCACAGTCTGTCGCTTATGCCTGAAATGTACCGATCTTGGTGGAATCAAATGTGCCAAGTCACTTGAACACTTCCGGACCCATTTTCATATATGGAATTCTATATCATCACCTCGTGTTTTTTATGAATGCGTGGGAATGTGTTTTTTCGTTAACCAACCGCCGCCCTTACGGATGACAACCCTCAGAAGTCGAAGCTTATGCGATCTTAGGATTAACGGTGGCTTACCTTCTAACGTGCAGTATGAATGTTTGGAATACATATTTCTTTCCGATAGTTGTATATCATCTTTCAATAAAGAGGTAATAGATTTTGATGTATTACTTTCACGGAAAAACCTTGATTTTCATTTGTTATTTTTTGAAAGGCATAACAATTTACTTTCAATAAATATGGCAATGGTTATTGGAAAATTAAATAAAACTTTCAGTTATTGTATAAGACTTGACGAACTTAATGACTGGTAGTCGTTTGGAGTCTATGCTTCTTTGTGAACCTTCTGAAACAGTTAGATATAATTTGTTACGGAGATATTCGGTAAATATAATAATAATTGTGGTAATCTGGTCGCAGGAATGACTGATTTACAAACATAATTATATATAGTTTGCGTATCTGATCATGGTGTATAGGCTTTCACAGCCGGTGTCTAACAAATTGTCGGATGTTTTCAGGTTCATTAGCCGTGGTTTGCAGGTTTTTATGTCTGACGTTTTGTCTGCTACTGCGGCAGACATTATAAAAGACGAAGCAAACGAACCACAACTGCACAGTTAGTATTGTGATTCGTTGTACATTGGAACCACGAAAAAAAGTGTTGAAACGCGTTCGACTGATAAAAAAGAAGTTGCTGCATTGGCCAAATAGTTAAATCGGCCTTGAACGCACGAAAATTCTCGATGAAACCAGAGGGTACTATCCGAGAAATGAATATGCATGAGAATAATTTCAACACTGAGGTAGAGAGCTCAAACATCGACTAATTGTGGATACTGGTAATCCATAACACAAAGATTCTCCCAATAACTGAAGAAAGGTCGACCAATCAGGTATAAGAGCAGTCGGTTGTCCGACATCTATAGTTTCATTATAAGAACAAACAGAGTTTAGACCAGTGGTTTCCTTTGTCACTTCACCATCAGTGAAATTATCACAAAGACTAATCAGTATCATCATGAATAAATTTCAACCAAAATTCAGTCTACGGAATTCATAAGACTTGGCATATGAAATAAAAAACATAACTCTACCAGACAATGCAGAATTATTATCCTTCGCTGTGATTACGGCCAATAATACTGGAAACAACCAACAATTTGTATCTCGTCTTATTCCTCGAAAGACAAACGCTATACACTTTGTAGAAATCGTCATAAAAAATCATTCACGAGGTTCCAAACTCAATTTTACAATGGATACAGTTATTCCCCGATGAAACTACATCATAATTTCTTCGAATACGAATGTAAACATACTTGTCATCGAAATTTCACATATAAATGAGAAAAAGTATACTCACAATGTACATGAAGCATCATTCGTTTGCTAACCGATGGAGGCACTCCATTCGCTGCTATACACAAGTAAGCCCCCATTTCGGACCTCGTTATTTTGGTCAATGTGAGGGTCTCGCCTTCGACAGAAGTCAGCCTTTCGTTTTTTCCATTGACTCCTGTTCTGGAAAGAATGGCACCACCATCTTCCCTTCTCCAAACTACACGTGGTTTAGGATAACCCCTCGCTTTACACGTTAGTTTTGCGGAACCTCCTTCCGGCACCATCATGTCACCAGAAGTTTCCTCGTAAATTATGTCAGGTGGAATGACAACTTCAAGAAATGCGGTCTGGAAATTAAAGCATGTAGTTAAGACGTGAAGCTATATTCAGTAGGAATATTTTTGTACGGCGATATTTGAACTTTTCTTCAATTTTATCAACATTAGTAATAACTATATACAGTGTGACCCATTTAAAATGGAACCACCCCTGTAGAATGTGCATTTTTCAATCAATCTCAATTTTTTTTTATTGAAATATTAAGCATGAAAAACTGTATCTTGACACTAACTTTCACAATTTTAGTTTCATTAGTTGCGGGCTCTTCAATATGGTTGTTTACAAAAAAAAAAGTACGAAAAAGATGGCTGATACTGACGCATGCGCACAAAAAAATTTGAGATGAAAAGGCCTATTGTTAAGTAGTATTCCGAGTATATAGAATATGTTTATGAACGATTCGGAGCAAGATCATCATTATTTAAAAAAAAAGAATGCAAAATCAGTTTTTTCATGAGGTTCTCGAATTTTTTGAAAAATATTGCAATGACAACATAACACTTTCAGGAAATTCGGGAATTTCAGTGTCTTCGAGAACATTGTTTGAATTTAAACATCGAAACAATTCAATTTCGAAGAGAAAGTCCGTACTCAAATTTGCGTAGCAAAAACTGCAACCCAAGTGAAATTGGGTACATTTTTGACGACGATATCCAATGTCCAGCTACTGAGAAACTCACAATCTTTGCGTGGAAAACGATACCAAATCTTTTTTATGTTAAAGCAGCTCATTTCGTGCGACCCTATTCTGAAAAGGTTACGGCTTTCCTACGGGCTGAAGCTGTCTCTCTCAAAGAAAGCATTTAAAGCAATCTTATTCAGCCAATTTCTTGCCGTGAGGGTATTAACTTTCACTCGTATCTTATATGATACCTAATCACAGTTAGGGTGATTCACCGAAATGGAAAATGAAATTCTATCATCAATTTATTTTCATTCATGTAGTATGCAGAGAATTTCAAGAAACTGTAATGAAAATTATAAAATTGAGATTTTCGGTCGGGAAAATACGGTACGGTTCGTTTGTTTTCCCTTCGTTTGTTTTCAAATGATCTGAAAATATCTTCTTCTATGAATTCCATAACTTACTAACATATTATTCATGGATTTTTCTGGGGATTCTCATCTTTCATAATTATATATCGCCCCGATAAGCTACTGCACAAAGGAAAATACGCTATTCGTTAGTAACTTATCATAGTTTGCCAATGAAGATGAGAATTGCACATTTAAAAACTTTTTTGACATTCGTCGAAGAAGTTCGAGAATGAATATTTCGGCCTTAGAAACTTTGTGATGCACTGTTTGGAACCTTTAGTGTAGTAATGAGTATTTTTTCCCAACACCAAACCATTTTTTTTTTAGTTTGATCTTCCTCTTGAAGATGATCACATGGTGATCGAAACACGTGTGGATGTGTTAAAATAACGGTTTGGTGTTGGGAAAAAACTCCACTAATATTCTTCGATACTTTAAGTACCTGAGTATAGATCTCAGTGTATTTTTTATTTTGTGAGAAGTTTTAACATCACATCACATCAGGTGGTCCTGGAACATAAGGAATAACGTTAGTTGAGAACCGTATGGGTTCTTGGATAGGAGATTGTTGAGTTGATAAATTGTTGAGTTGGTTGTTGTTTGTAGGGACACTTGCTTGTTGGTCGGAACAAATTTTATGAATGACACTCCTTCATCAAAATTTACTGCCATATTGCAAACAGTTTTTGCTGTTATGAAGATAGTATATTGTAACGTTTTCAACACTTGCAACTGTATATTGCTTTAGTGATAATACAGTAACTTACTACTTTACTCTGAAGCTATGTACAACTAGGCCAGGAATCAGTCGCTGTAGAGAACAGGCTAGAAGACCTTTATGAAATAGATTGACAGTCTGGACATCATGTTTTGTCCGAAATGGAAAGAAGATGTTTTGTATATTTGCATAAACTTTGTCTATGAGTATACAGAGTGTAACGGAATAAGTGTAAAACATTTGAGGACGTGATTCCTCATCGAAAAAAAGATAGGATCTTTTATATAAAGAAACTTCATTGGAGCATCCCTTGTAGAGATACAGCCCCTTAAAGGGGGTACATAAAATTTGTATAACAAGCACTAAAAAGTTACAATATTGAAATTAACCTGACGTTTTGTTCTTCCAAAAAGACATTTAGCCAGAAATTTCTTTGGTTTACCCCATGGTTGTAAGGGGTGGAAAACGCAACCCCTAAAATTTATTTCCAATGTAACTATTTGTCTTATTATTTACCACATATGGGCTGATGAAAACCCTCACGCTATTGTCGAAACTAACCATCAAGAACAGTTTTCTCTTAACGTGTGTCTCGGAGTTATTGGGGATGTTTTAATTGGGCCTCATTTTCTACGTCCTCGATTAAATAGTGAGGCATACTTTCAATTTTTAAGAGAAGTGCATCCAGTACTATTGGAGGAAGTTCCTTTGGGCGTCATAAGAGATATGTTTCTCATGCATGATGTAGCTCCCTCCCATTTTAGTCAAGTAGCACGTCAGCATTTAACTGAAACATATGTAAATCAGTGGATAGGTCGAGGAGGACCACTGAACTGGCCTGCTCGATCCCCGGATCTCAATCCTCTCGATTTCTCTATTTGGGGCCATTTACAGCATTTGGTTTATCGTACTCTTGTTCGCGATGTAAAGGACTTAAGAAACCGCATCATCGATGCGTGCAGGGTAATCAGAGAGACTCCAGGAATATTTGAGCGAATACGTGGCTCAATGCGCCGACGTCTAGACGCATGCGTAATGTCTGAAGGTAGACATATTGAACATTTACTATGATTTCTGCATGCTGTGTGTTTTGTTATTAATAAATTAGTTTTGTTCATTACCCTTTAATCGTTTAATGCAGGTACTAACTACAAAATAACAATAAATCCAGTTCGCATTTATGACGAGTATCTCTGTAGTTATTCGTAAAATATTTTTTGCTGCGAACTGGTTTATTTTGAGCAAAAAACCCAAAGACATTTTTTGTTTAGAATGTAACAGGCTATCGGAAATAAATTTTCAAATGGTAAACAAATAATAAGACAAAAAGTTACATTGGAAATACATTTTAGGGCTTGCGTTTTCCACCCCTTACAACCATGGGGTGAACCAAATAAATTACTGGCTAAGTGTCTTTTTGGTAGTACAAAACGTCAGGTTAATTTCAATATTGTAACTTTTTCAGTGCTTGTAAAAAAAATTGTTATACAAATTTTATGTACCCCCGTTAAGGGGCTGTATATTAACAAGTGATGCTCCAATGAAGTTTCTTTATATGAAAGATCCTATCTTTTTTTCACACTCATGCAGTTACACCCTGTATAATGATAGTCTCATTGCAGCATAAGCTTTTTGAATGCATTAAGAAATCTCAATGATCAGGCCAAGATTTTTCAAGGATTCTATAACTGATAAAGTAGACCCGTTGATGTTAAGTTGTAGGGATTGTTGTGTACCAAACAAAATAACGCTGGATTCATGAGAATTTGGTTGGAGGGAATGATGAGTTAATGTCTAGTGGAGGTATCTATTAGTATGAATTTTTTTTCGACAAACATCTGCATCAATGATATCTAATGAATTTTTAACATAACATGTGATAATTTTGTTCAATCTCTATTGTGAGCTTCATTGTCGGTTTAGGTGATTCAAAAAAGCATTCAGATCATTATGCTTTCCTTTCCATCAGCAAAAGTATCGTCAAAGAAAAACTTTTGTTCAGTAATACTGAAATAGTCATTCATGAAATTATTGACGACTACATGTTTTGTCACGATTTCATAAATTTGAATAGTTCCTGAAAGTTAAAAGATTTCATGGAGGCTCATATTTTTTCAGTGATTTATGATCTAGTCCAGGGGTTCCCAACCTTTTTGCACCTGCGTACCACTTGACTTTTTGAGAAATATTGGCGTACCACCAGACCAGAATATTTCAACAAACGTATAATATTTACTCTTCTAAAAGTGTTCAAAGGCTTTTTTAATCAAATTCCTGAAAAAATTTCATATTTGATGGTTAGATATTTGTTTATTTATAACATGTTTATAATAAAGTAGGAATGAAAGTATTAAAATGGTAATTAATTTACAATTTTATTTATCACTAATAGGTCTAAAAACATACAAATAAAGAAAAAATTATGATAAAGTGGGGAATGCAGATAAATTCTCCTCCTGTATTTGTGAACAAAACAGGACCAACTTTCTCTTGAAGGAGATTATTTTGTCACTGGCTGTAAAGGCTGATGTTTTTGGTCCCTGAAGTCCCAAGTTCAGTGTGTTGAGTTTGTCAAAAATGTCGGCTAGGTAAGCCAATCTTGACAAACATTCTTCATTAGCAAACAATTTTTTCATGTCATGATTTTTTTTCAGTCCCTGGCTTCACTATAAAACCGTACTGTAAATAGCTTTCATCGTATTTACGATTGGCCGGTAATTTAGGTTTTTTAACACAATCCTTTGAAGTAGAAGAGGACGTCAGAAATCGTTTCATAGTTCAGTTTTTTTTCACCCACAACAAACCTGTAATGCCAAGTGGAAGTAAAAGACAATCAATCCTTCTAAAGACCCACAGGTAAAAAATGAAACACCCATTGTTTACCAATTGTACTATCTGGGGATTCCTAGGTAAAATTTCTAAAGTGTTTTATTGGTTTATTACCTAGGAATTATAAATTCCAATGTAATAGAGAAACAAAGATGTCAGGTCGTTCACTGGGTTGTTGGCTATTAACAGCATATTGCTCACATCACTGACGCGTACCATCTGAAATGTTCCCGCGTACCACTGGTGGTACGCGGGCTTTTTTCTGTGTGGAATCCAGCAGCTTCAGGGTATGCTCAGGAACGGAGCTTCATACATGAGAACAATACCACAGTAGAATAATACAACCAGCAGGCTCTCTTACCACGTGATCCGCCCAAGTTGCCGGGGACCTTCAACCGCTCTTCGGATGAGATTCTCATCCAA